TCTTTCATAACAAGAGGCGATATTTTCTTGTTGAGGCGTTTCGTAACTTGAAAATTTCATATGAAGAGACGTTCGTAAGTAGAGGTACCACTGTATCACAAGTCCAATAACCAAGATTGATAAAAAAGAATAAGGAAAATACTGTACTTGCAAAGTTCTCTGACAAAACGAGAGCGACTACGAAAGATATCCGGAAGACTAGAATGCAACACTCGAAGCACAACAGCGAGCAAGGTCAATAATCCGACAAGAAACGAGGCAGCTTGGCAGTCCTTAAATACTTGGCAGGCTTGATTGGTAAACGCGGAACAGGTGCGCCTGCTGGACGGAAACTCCCTCCACTCCAACTGAGGCTGAAAGCAAAAACAGACAGACATGACCGTTACAGTCAGAATTATTATTTTCTGATCATTTGTAACTCTGCGTTCATGGGTCATTTTTTTATTTTTATTTTGAATGAACTTTTTCTTTAGTCCAATAGTAGACAGAGTTGACCGCCTCCAAATTTTATATGAAGGAAGAAAAAAAACCTTGCTGTTTACTTGCCGTTCTCGTCTCCAACACCGTTTTGGTGGTAGCCATTGCACAGTAAGTCATTTTTACACTGCCATATCCACCACAAGTGTGTTCTTCTGTGGGAGAGAGCTACGTTTTTTTTATCTGCAGCTCCAATCTGAAGCCCTGAGGAGGTCTGTGGCGGAGTGTTTTGACTGGGACAAAACGTGACTAATCATCCATGAAAGCAGAAACGATAGGGTAGAGACCACCAGGAATTTAAAGTGCCTGTGCGTTCAGAGAGTAAAGTAGGAGGGGGCAGGGGAGTTATTTGTTCGGATGTAGTTGACGCTAAGAAACAGCCAACGGAATCATTTTCAATTCGTTTTCCTTGTGACAAGAAAGCGGTCCGTTTCCATTTGACTTGTGAAGATTTCTTAGTTTTATTCAATCTCTGAGCGCAGAGTACCGTACTTTACCCGCCGTCTGTATGGATTCAGTGTTTTGTCATGTTGTAATTGCTTTGAGTGCTCCCATCGCCTGCACGGCTGCTGTTGATGTGCAGTCATTTTTGGACTTTGTACAGGTGCCGCCTCACTCCTCACCTGCTCTTTAACTTTCTCTTTCTGCGCTCGCCTAATGATAGAGTAGCCTTTCATGCCTGCCAGTGTGTTATAAAAGCAAGCTGCGGCATGTTCTCGATAAAAGCCCAGTTTTGTGACATTTGTCCATCAAGCGGTGTCACCGCTCATTTCACGAATGCACTTCAAAGCTCACCGATGACTTTAAATACAAGAAGAGTGATCATATATCGATGTATTTTGGTATGATGCAGAGGTGCGCAAAGTTTCCACGCAAAACTCATTCGGCAAGAGACAAGAAGTGCCTCACACTCTCGCCACACATCAGGCATGCAATGAAGATACCTGGGAATGGTTTTAAATTGAGGGAGGGTGCGGGGGCGGGGGGAATAAGCTGCCATCCAAACCCTGAACAGGATAAGTAAGTGGTATAGAAAATGGGAGAGGTCAAGGACTTAAGTCGTAGTTAGAATTTGTCATCAATTTTAGGAGATTCCACTTGATGTGGTGGTTGCCATGCACATTACCGTATTTTCCGCACTATAAGGAGCACTTAAAAACATTCCATTTTCTCCAAAGCCGACAGTGCGCCTTATAAGCCGATGCGTCCATTATATGGATCAGTATTCTGATTTCTTGGGCGGAATTTTATTTTTTTAATGTTCTGTAAAACGCTTTGTTACAGCTGCAGTGGTTTTGAAAGCTCTATATAAATAAAGCTGTGTTGTATTGTATTGTATTCCCTTTAGTGTAGCTCCATCTAGTGGATGCATAACGCAACCGCAGCCATTACTGTTACGTCTATTTTATGCGCCTTATAATGCAGTGCACCCTATATATGAAAACCGTTTTTTTAAAAGGCCATTCATTGAAGATGCGCCTTATACTCCGGAGCGCCTTGTAGTGCGGAAAATACGGTAATTTAAAGGTAGCATCACCAATAACTGCTTAGCATTGGTTATGCGTTTAATTGAGATGACAAAGTAAAAGAAAATACTGTCACACATTTTAAAACAATTATAAAAAATGTTTTATGAATGTGTTCGTCGAGCTAATCAATGCGACTGCAAAAAAAATGTGCAAATATTTGTTGTTGTGACAAAGAAAGATTGTATTATTTGACTTGTGAAAAAGAAATGACGCTGCTGCGGTGTTAACTAGACGTGAAGCTACTACAGTGGACAGCTTCTCATGCTATCAGGTTACAGGGTGCCTGAAAGGGTTAATGTCTAAAACATTGTTCACAAAATGCGAGTCAAAATATTAAGTTCAAATGTTCGCCACAATATGAATGCAATACTCACTTTTGTGCTGTCTATAGACCTTCCTCCCACCGCTGGAAAATGAACGGGTAGAATTTCATCTCATATTCAGTGGAGAAGAGGCTGAAGCAACGCTTACATCAGCCTCATTTGTATTTTGTTGCTGAGAAAAGCTCTTTTCTCTTCGGATACAACGCGGCAGCAGCTTATTTCTTGTGTGTCTGTGACAGTGAGTCAAGTGGGTCGAGAATAAAAAAGCGGCGGGCGGGGGGGGTGTGGGCAAGACCTCCATTCTGCAGCTTTATGACCTGCTAAAAGTCCTTGAAAGGTTTTAAGTGGAACAAAATTACGGTGGGCCGTCGCGTTGTGTGAATCGGTCGCGTTGACTCTCGAAGGTCTGGCCTACGAAGCCGCCAAAATATGCGAAGGCCCTGGAAGGAGACGTGAGAAGGGGAAAGATTTGCTTTCACGCTCGGGCCGAGTAACAGTCCCACACCGAGGCGACACTTTATCCCCTCCGGGGGTGGGGCGGATTTTAGGTGTCCCTCTGTGGTGTTACAGGCATGGCAAATGACAGACTCTGTAATAATAGACAGTGTGAACAAATCACAGAGAAGAGAAAGACAGGTCCCTTTTTTTTCTTGTCAATGGTGACTTGATGGGAAAAAATTGTAATCAAAGCCTTTCAGTGTATTTTTCAGCACAGTGGTACCTCTCCTTATGAACGTCACTTCATACGAAATTTTCAAGCTAACGAAACGCCTCAACAGGAAAATATTGCCTCTTATTATGAAAGAAATTTCAAAATGCGAAAGGTAAAAATACAGTATGCCTCACTAATTGCAGCTCCGATTTTCCTGAATGCAACATACTTCTTGCTGCTCTGCCATTGGCTATACCGAGCATTATCCTGGCATCCTATTGGCTAAGAGGGTCTTCTATGTCTTCTATGTCTTCTGTGTCTATGTGTCGATGCAGCGTCCTCGTCATTCGCCCCTCGGGCCATGATGTGTTCCGTTAGTTTTACGTAAATGCGAATCACCCAGAAAAAGTGTTCAGCAGTCGGGCGATCGCTCACTATGCTGATGTTTGCCTTGGACATTTTCAGAGGATTGTTAAAAGCCAACAAAAGCAAATGTCCTTGGATCAATTCATTACAAAACGCCAGGCAAAAACCACTTCTGAGAGAGAATGTGAACTAAAGAGGGCAAAAAACGATGAGGACGCAGTTCAAAGTTAAATGACCATCATTTTTATTCTTTACTCCGTATTTTGTTTTTTTACATTATGCACAACTCTCATTTATTGTGTAATAATCTAATTGTAACATGTATTTGTTACATATTTTGATGCATTGTTATACTTCATAAAACATTTATGTTTGAAATTTGGGGGGGTCTGGAACGAATTAGGGCATTTACACGGAAAACGCGTCTCGACTTACAACATTTTCTAGTTTAGAAATTTCTTCCAGAACTAATTAAAATCATAAGTAGAGTTACCACTATATTTCCTTTTTTTTTTTTTAATTTTCCTGGCTCCTTGTGAGTAGCGATTTCAATTTGTAATCTGTCGGTGTGCTTACATGATGCACAACTCTCATTTATTGTGCAATAATCTAATTGTAACATGTATTTGTTCCATAATTTGATGCATTTCTTTGCTTCGAACGGATTAGGGCATTTACATGGAAAACGCGTCTCTACTTCCAAAATTTTCCACTTAAGAAATTTCTTCCGGAAGCAATTAATTTCGTAAGTAGAGGTAGCACTGTACCACTTGAGAGGAGTTATTTAATTTAACATTAGTGGTATGGTGTTAGAATTTTGCGCATCGATTAGCAGGCAAAGCCAAATATTATGCGGCGGATGACACTTTCAATGAGTTATCACTTTTGGCTGGGTTTTAACATAAACAGCTCTTATCATGAGGCTAACCGTGCACTGCGCTGGTTCGCAAACTGACCTTGATGCTTGATGAGCCGTAAATTTTCAAAAACTCGGGAGATGAATATGGCGGCCATCGCGCCAGTGAAATAAATCTACTTGACCAATTACTCCTCGCTACCTTAGCTTTGGGCCAATTAAAAGCTATGATTTGATTATCGAGTCTCACATAAATCTGACATGCTTGCTTGCACGCAACATTTCTAGCTCGATTGCACTCTTTTGTTTTTGATCTAGCGTTGCACGGCAAGAAATATTTTGGACTTGGAACAACAAACCTCGGGGCAAAAGTTTCCAATGTGGATAAATCTCCTTTTTTTAAAATTTTTTTGCAACACATGCTGTAAATGGGCCACCGTGTCTTTGGCAACGTTCAGCACGGTTGACTCTGTGACTGACTTTCACAAGGCTCTTTTCTCATGATGTGGAAAACAATGTGAAAATGATCCCGCTCGTGTCGTCTCTTTCGAAGACGGATTTTTATTTTATTTTTTTTGAAAAGTTATGCCTCAACAGATCGGAAAAAGTTCTCAACCCTGACTGTGTTTTTGCCATCCCGCTCTCAGTTAGCAATATGCGAGCAATGTAAGCAGTGCACGCTAGTGCAGATACGCTTTGAGGTTGTTTTTTTTTTCCTGACAAATAAACTCGATTTAATTGATGGAATCAATTAGTCTTACAAACCTGAACTGCTAACTTTCTTGCCTCCCCCTCAGGGGTCTCTTACTCCTACGTGCAAGGTGGGCAAATGCTGGATGAGGACGTGATGGTGGACACGAAGACACACGCACACCGCTGGAGGAGATGGCTTCCAAACAGCCCGCGGAACATGGACAGTAACAGGGCCAGTCCGGAGCAGGAGCAGGAACGCGAGGAGGAGGAGGAGGCGGTGGCGGCGCAGGAGGAGGCGGAAGCCGAGCGCTTCCCGGGCCTGATTTCAGCCGAGGACGCCGACAACAGCTCACAAATTGAGGTAGATGTACGCATGTATTTTATTTGATGTTATTCCTCTGAGGAACACCCTTGTATCAGTTCTTTACAAACCGCCAGGAAAGAAACACTTCTGAGAGAGAACATGGACGAAAGAGGGCAAAAAACGATGAGGACGCAGTTCAAAGTTAAATGACCATCATTTTTATTCTTTACTCCGTATTTTGTTTTTTTACATTATGCACAACTCTCATTTATTGTGTAATAATCTAATTGTAACATGTATTTGTTACATATTTTGATGCATTGTTATACTTCATAAAACATTTATGTTTGAAATTTGGGGGGGTCTGGAACGAATTAGGGCATTTACACGGAAAACGCGTCTCGACTTACAACATTTTCTAGTTTAGAAATTTCTTCCAGAACTAATTAAAATCATAAGTAGAGTTACCACTATATTTCCTTTTTTTTTTTTTAATTTTCCTGGCTCCTTGTGAGTAGCGATTTCAGTTTGTAATCTGTCGGTGTGCTTACATGATGCACAACTCTCATTTATTGTGCAATAATCTAATTGTAACATGTATTTGTTCCATAATTTGATGCATTTCTTTGCTTCGAACGGATTAGGGCATTTACATGGAAAACGCGTCTCTACTTCCAAAATTTTCCACTTAAGAAATTTCTTCCGGAAGCAATTAATTTCGTAAGTAGAGGTAGCACTGTACCACTTGAGAGGAGTTATTTAATTTAACATTAGTGGTATGGTGTTAGAATTTTGCGCATCGATTAGCAGGCAAAGCCAAATATTATGCGGCGGATGACACTTTCAATGAGTTATCACTTTTGGCTGGGTTTTAACATAAACAGCACTTTTGTGGTGTATGACATGCATGGAGACATATGGATGTTGTAATGCATTTGTAAAGCTTATTAACGTCCCCGGGCTCGCTTCCAACGAGCGCTTTATCATTTTCGAATGTGGGAAAATCTGTAAATTAATGACGGTGCAACCGACCTTTCATCTCGTCGTCTCGCCGTGATTGTTTTATCGTAATCTGTCTTTCGTTAAATGTGCCGGGATTTATGAAGTTTGTGGTCCTGGCTCAAGTTTGTTCATCCATCATCCTTGTCTTTCCACCGATGTTCTCCAATCGTCTTTAAGTTATACGCATCATCTCCAGCGGTTCATTGGTCTCACTGTGCTTCATTCTTATCATGAGGCTAACCGTGCACTGCGCTGGTTCGCAAACTGACCTTGATGCTTGATGAGCCGTAAATTTTCAAAAACTCGGGAGATGAATATGGCGGCCATCGCGCCAGTGAAATAAATCTACTTGACCAATTACTCCTCGCTACCTTAGCTTTGGGCCAATTAAAAGCTATGATTTGATTATCGAGTCTCACATAAATCTGACATGCTTGCTTGCACGCAACATTTCTAGCTCGATTGCACTCTTTTGTTTTTGATCTAGCGTTGCACGGCAAGAAATATTTTGGACTTGGAACAACAAACCTCGGGGCAAAAGTTTCCAATGTGGATAAATCTCCTTTTTTTAAAATTTTTTTGCAACACATGCTGTAAATGGGCCACCGTGTCTTTGGCAACGTTCAGCACGGTTGACTCTGTGACTGACTTTCACAAGGCTCTTTTCTCATGATGTGGAAAACAATGTGAAAATGATCCCGCTCGTGTCGTCTCTTTCGAAGACGGATTTTTATTTTATTTTTTTTGAAAAGTTATGCCTCAACAGATCGGAAAAAGTTCTCAACCCTGACTGTGTTTTTGCCATCCCGCTCTCAGTTAGCAATATGCGAGCAATGTAAGCAGTGCACGCTAGTGCAGATACGCTTTGAGGTTGTTTTTTTTTTCCTGACAAATAAACTCGATTTAATTGATGGAATCAATTAGTCTTACAAACCTGAACTGCTAACTTTCTTGCCTCCCCCTCAGGGGTCTCTTACTCCTACGTGCAAGGTGGGCAAATGCTGGATGAGGACGTGATGGTGGACACGAAGACACACGCACACCGCTGGAGGAGATGGCTTCCAAACAGCCCGCGGAACATGGACAGTAACAGGGCCAGTCCGGAGCAGGAGCAGGAACGCGAGGAGGAGGAGGAGGCGGTGGCGGCGCAGGAGGAGGCGGAAGCCGAGCGCTTCCCGGGCCTGATTTCAGCCGAGGACGCCGACAACAGCTCACAAATTGAGGTAGATGTACGCATGTATTTTATTTGATGTTATTCCTCTGAGGACCATTTTATATTTATGAAAAAATGATATTATATATACTAATATTGTCATTTATTTCTGGTGAAGAAAATAATTCGGACCTCGGAAAACTTGTGCGACGCGTTTCCAAATTTAGACACCACTAGACTAAAAGAACATTTTAGGAAAAGTGTTTCTCTGGATTTTAACGATCGTTCTCTTGTCGAGCATCTTCCATTAAAATCCACACTGCCTGACGCGGAGCTCATTCATCGAAAATAAATCCATAAAGTCCGCCGAGAAAAGTACTCAGCCGTCGCAAGAGCAGCTACGAATCGCTCCAGGCAATTAGATATTTGCAAATGAAGTGCGTGGATTAATATCGGATCCCGAATCAGGATTACGGGGCCTCATTTGTTCGCCCACCTTTATGCAGGCGGTGGGTTTTGAAATTGGAACCAGAAGGCAAGACAGGAAATTAGCCCAATGTGGCACAAGAAGTTGGTGAAGCTACCGATGAAAAATAGTCGGGGGCTGTTTTCTGGGACGATGTAAATTAAAGATACCGGGGCCATGTACTCCACGGCCTGCGCACGGCACCAACGCGTTCTGCCGTAATGACGCCGGCCTCCCTCGGAGGGGGTTGAGGCAGCTCATTATATACGTGTTTTTTTTCTTTCTTTCTTTCTTTCCTTCCTCTCAGCGGCTTCTAATGGGTTCACAAGACCATGTCTCTCACCGAGGGAGGGAGAGGGAGCTTTGATCATCAGCTGTAAACGTCCAAACGCACCCCCCCCCCCAACACACACACACACACACGGAAACATCAAGTCATTTAAACACACATTGATACATAGACACGGTATGGCGTATGAAGCGCTGCCCTCCACAAGCGAAAATGCCGTTTGCGTGCACTCGCCCTCGAGGTCCGGCCAGCTGTTTGGCAGACGCTTGCGTGAGACAACACGCGACGCAGAGTTAAAGTTTGTTTGGCACTGCTGAATGGCTTGTTAACAATCACTTACTCCACTTTTCCCTTGTATCACCTTTATGGCCACTTTACACCACTGAAGAAATCGCTCCATCTTTTTTATGGACTCTATGCTGCAGTGGGAGGTTGTATTTGGGTTAACCGGTGCCACCCAGCCAGCTTTGGATCCCTCTCACCTGGAAGCGCGGGTTTATAAAAGTGTCGGCACAGTGACAGCAGACGCCGTGGCGCCTGGAGCCGGTGAATCACTCGTTCTCCAGGTCATTAACCCCAATTGAGACCGTTGGCCAAGATGGCATTGAGCAAGAAGAAGGAATTGTGAGCAAGAGTCAGCGAGATTTAATTGGAGAGTCTGTGTTCAGACGTGCTTGGAGTCAAAGTCGGACGCATTCATATAGATTTAACAGCTGAACAGTGTTTCAAATGTGAAAGAGCCCAAAATTCGGGAAACTGAATTCTGTGTTGACGACACACAGAAGGATTTGTTCTCCAGGAAGTTTATGTTCAACGATGCCCGATGATTTTACAAGCAGATTAGGGAGGGGAAAAAAAATCATCCAGCACACCCCACGTCGCAAGATAATCATTCAGGATCATCTTTCCGGGACGTCTGATCATCATCAATTGCTGACTTGAATAGAAAGAGAGAGTTAGGGAGGGGAAAAAAAATCATCCAGCACACCCCACGTCGCAAGATAATCATTCAGGATCATCTTTCCGGGACGTCTGATCATCAATTGCTGACTTGAATAGAAAGAGAGAAAAAAAGGTGCAAGTTCAGACAGATTATCAGATCAACCTGATTTCATATTCTTTCCTCCAAAGACCTTCTCAGTACATTCTGTTTTCTTTGCTTCCCAAATAGTTCACAGATAAAGTACAGCTTATGAAATGAATTGTTCTGGAAGAAATTTCTTAACTGGAAAATGTTGTAAGTAGAGACACGTTTTCCATGTAAATGCCCTAATTCGTTCCAGCACCCGCCAAAATTCAGACCTAAATGTTTTGTAAAGCATAAAAGTGCATCAAAGTATGTGAAAAATACCTTTTACAATTAGATTGTTGGACAATAAATGAAAGTTGTCCATAATGTAAAAACAAAGAATAGAGTAAAGAATAAAAATGAGGGTCATTGAACTTTTAACTGCGTCCTCATCGTTTTTAGTCCATGCTCCCTCTCAGAAGTGGTTTTTGCCTGGCGTTTTGTCAAGAACTGCTTTTGTCGGCTTTTAACAAGCCTTCGAAAATGTCCAAGGCAAACATCAGCATAGCATTAGCCAATGGGATGCCTGGATAATGCTCTGGAGTAGCCAATGGCAGAGCAACTATAAGTATGTTGCATTCAATAAACTCAGAGCTGCGAGTAGCAGCCTATACTATATTTTTACCTTTCGTATCTTAAAATTTATTTCGGAACAAGAGGCAATATTTTCCAGTTGTGGCGTTTCGAAACTTGAAAATTTCATATGAAGAGACGTTCGGCAGTAGAGGTACCGCTGTATTTATTCCGAATAAAAAAATGCAAAAGCATGACAATGAGTAGAATCGCAATAGGTTTACGCTGGCTGCCCAACATTTTTCAGCTTGATCATCTGCTTGCGTCCACAGCGGATGCGGGGTGCTGACCTCGGACCTTGGCAAACCGTTTGAGAAAGCCGCTCACAGTTGTCCGTCACAATTTGGGGGTCTGCTCTCCGAGTGGCATCAATGCACAAACCGAGCAGACGAGCATGGCGCATGCCGCGGCCCACGCCCTGCTGGATGTTACATTCTACACCCTCCTCCTTTTCCAAATACTGCATCGTATGTCGACACCGCTTCGGAGAGCCCAGACAGATATATTCCTCCCCCTGCGCTCCTTCCCAAAGCACTCGCGTCTATTCTGCGGCCTCTTTTTCACACCCTGCTGCTCATATTTACACTACGTTGGTCTGTCTTGAGGCTTTAACCGATGGCAGACGTGACGCTTTGCCAGGAAAAGCAAACTGGAGTATGTGGGGTCCGACCAGGGACCCTGATTGTGTGGCTCCTTCTAATGTGCGGTAATGGGAGGTGCGCTTTACAGCAGTGAGATTTCATGTCTGCGGCCACACGCACGGAGGGCCTTTTGAGTAGGGAATTCCCACAGCTCGGATTCCCAGTACTGCTCTTCGCTGAGGTTGCGTGCCCGTGCGCCGTGGTGGGCAGTGTCCAACTCCAACCACTTTTGTTATTAATTCACCATTTTGTTTCGGACTCAGTTCACCCCACCAAAACAACTGGAACAGGTTGTTTTGATAGCGTAAATTCAACTGCCTCTCTGACTCAACTTTATTTACATAGCGCGTTCACAACAACCGCAGCTGGAACAGAGCACTGTACACAAACTTCACATAATAACAATAATCGAGTGAGAAATGACCAGACAAAATAAAAATACATCATCGCTCACTTCACAATCGGCACGTCACAATATGGCAGATGTACCCTGTCGTTGGTGGGTCGGTGTTCTGGAGTCTTTTTTTCGTGGGGTCTACACATGACAAAAAAAGCAGTTTCCTGCAAAGGGACAAATCAAGACGGTCTAAAAAGCCCTTTAAAAAGCAGGCTGCCATTTCGGCATTGTCTCTCATCAGAGGAACATTAAAGCGGTGCTTGTTAAAAAAAGGACAGACTTTTATTGTTTCCTGCCCCAAAATTAGGAAGATGGTGCTTGTGTCATGGGGGCTTACTGTTGCTATGCTCCTCCATGCCTGCAATCGTAAGATGCACCACACACAGCTGCACCTTTTTAGCTCCAAAATCTTGTGAAAAAGTTACTGTTTCAGGGACTCCACTTTTAAATGGGAGGTTGTTTATCGGAACTCCTACAGTAATATTGGGACACATCCCACAAGTGCGACAAACTTTAATTAAAGCAAAAACTTGAGATAAGTGGGTGATTTATAGTCCCTTTTGGGGAATACATGACTCGCCTCCACATCGTATTAGCCTCGGAATACGAGACTGGAGATAAGAAATATCTCATTCCAAACGGGTGTTCCCCTCTCAGTGATTTGATTTAAGCCAACACAGCCGGGCGCCTTTCATCAGCGCTAAGGCAGACAAATCAAGTCAGAAGAAGAAAACTCCCACAGGGGCAGCCTGAATCAGCGCTTTTTTTTTTTTTTTTTGGAAGAGAGATGTTGTAAATGGGTTCGAGCATCCAGACGATAAGCACGGGATATTTTGGGAAATGGTCTTGGGAGGAGTACGAAAGGTCAGAGAAGGACACCTGGTGACCTCGGGCCAGCCATGATTGTTGGCGGAGAGGGGCTGCTAATCAAAACGGCATTCTGGCCCCAAATACATTGTAAATGTTACGATGATTCTGTGTATATCCAACACAATGCACGACAGTTACCGCATCATTGTGTTTCAGACTCTGACTTGAAAGTGGCTGTGGATCTTCACCCAGGCTAGCTGATCATGTCAAGGGCTGGGAAATCCTCGTTGGGGGCGCAGTTTTGTAAATTAGTAACAGCGGAGGTGGAAATACAGAACTCACCCCTCACAGACAACAAAAAAAAATATATATATATATATGGTTGTTTCGTTTCACCTTTGACCTTTGACGGGTGGCTAGGCACTCCAGAGAAACCAGGAAATGTAAATAAGCCATTGAAAAGTCCATCCTCCATATGTCTCGTTTAACTAGACAGACGGGCAAGATTAGCTTGAGTATAATTTTAGATTACGTCATTGCGTGTCGGCGAATTACAGTCCGCCATCTGGCGCTCCTCCAACAGATGTGGGATCTAAAAAACACGGAGTGCATCCCAATTAAAAAAAAAAAAGGCAAGAAATTAGGATGCTACAATATTTATTTTTGTCAAATTGCAGAGTCGTTATCTTGTGTTGTTTCTCCACCCACCCCCACACCCCCACGCAGGAAGACACGGACCACAACTACTACACATCCAAAATATATAGCCCGACGGATCCGACAAGCAAGGGCTTGTGGGTAAACATCGAGCAGATGGACAAGGAGAAAGTGAAGATTCACGGGATTCTGTCCAACACGCACAGACAAGCAGCGGTAAGTCGACCCAACGACGACCGAGTCACACGTTCATTGATTTTCCTACGCTTGGATGTTTGGTAGAGAATGACATCAAAGTTTGGGTCCTGCACAGAAAAAAAAAAAAAAAGCAATTTGAGGTCATTTGTGCTTTGGGAGAAGTCTCAATTAGTTAATAAAGTCAGAAACTATAGCTGGAAATAATCATCACTTTCAGCCCTGCTTTCCATCTGTGGCCCGCAGTTAAACTTTGATTTACGTTTCCAAAATGAAAGAAGTCGTCATTAATGCAATTTGGTGTTTGCGGTGGAATGCTAATATCCAATCCCCCTGGTAAAATATCGATGGAAACTCGATTCGCTCACAAGCTGTCGTATGGACTCGACGAAAGGAGGAAAATTACAGTTCTGCATTTGATCGGATTTCATCACAAAAGCAATTACCGTGCTCGCAGCAGGGCGTTCAAAATAAACCTTGACAATGAGCCCCATGCTGCTTCACCATATCATAAGACAAAGACGTTATTCTATGATCACATGTTGCAGCCTGTTTTGGGAAATGTCCGTTCGTCAAATTAACCCTTTCAGGGACAACGGTTAAACAGACGAAAGGGTAAAAGTTAAAAAAAAAAAAAAAAGCCATGAAAGATTTCTGCATTTTGCATTCTACTCATTTCCCTTCAACTGGTGACGGGTTGAGCCTCGCATTGGTACAAGGGCGTCTGGCTTTGAGCTGATTCTCTTCCCTAAAGCAAATTGGCTCTGACTTTCGCTTTTGTCCTGTGGAAAAAAAAATTGAGAAGCACGTCTCGTCCAGGCCGTGAGATGAAGTGAAACTATACGTGCCTCCAATTCGGCAGCGGTGTTGCATTTCAAATGAACCCGAGTTTCACAGGCCGGCTTTACGGGTTGCATTTGTTGTATTTACAAGTGCCCCCTGGTGGCCAAGGCCTGCACAACAGAAGGAGATACACAATGTCTATTGAGTTTTGTATGAAATTTACTGTCAAACTCAACATAAAATGAAGAGAATTCGATGCGTATTAAAAGAAATGTCTCAAAAAGTCTGGTTAGCCTTTTATGTTAACGAACAAAGCAGACATGTCGTCGTTGGTGTTTATTGGACAGACATTGCCTCCATCCGGATCCCGGCATCGCGAATATTTTGACCTAATTTAATTTCATGCCTCCTTCTGCTTCTTTCTTCACAGAGAGTCAACCTGTCCTTTGATTTTCCTTTCTATGGACATTTTCTGCGTGAGATCACCGTGGCAACTGGAGGTAAGTCAACAATAAGTCAGTAGTTCACGATTTAAATGTTGTTATTGGATATGCCGCCTACGCTCCCAGGGTGCGCGTAGACACATTTTACTGCGCTGTGGTTTGGCTGGGGAACGGTGTCGGGATTCATAAACTGCAGAGGCATTTCAAAAATGTACTGCGTCGTGTGTCTGTGTTCGCCATGATTGATTTTTTTTTTTTTTTAAGACCGTGGCTGCCGTACAGCAACATCATAGCACTGAAAAGGATCCAAACAGCAAAGGCGTTTCTGACAGGTTGCGAAGTCAATCTCATAAGATATGTACCCAAGTCATTGTTATGACACATGACCATTTGCAGTTCTCACCTCGGCGGCAAAGTCTGCTCGTAAAAGTGGATAAAACCCCCCACCCCGCCCTACACTACGTGCCAAATTGAACTGGAGGGGAAAGTAGGCCTTGGGTTTGGACTGGAAACAGGAGCGGGTCTGCCAACTGGCTTCGCCGACATTGATAAGGCGGCGGCGATATCAGAAGGCGGGTGTGTATGTGTGTCTAAGACTAAGAGTTGACACGGCCGCACGGGGGGGGGGAAAAAATTGTTTCCGTTCATACAAATCATGTCAAACTCTGCCGAAAGCAGACAAAAGAAAAGTAGCTGAAACTACGGGAATATCGTGCGTTGTGTTTAAGAATATTGACGACGCACAGTTTCTCCAGCTCTAAAAATGCTGACGTCAAGAGAAAAGGGGAAGCGTCAAAAGGCCTGAGTTCAACTTTAAAGAGGCAGTGCCACGTTAATTATTGAAGCAGGGGAACACATAAAATTTTTTGTTCTACCAGTTGAAAATGGAGTAAAAGAACACATCAGGTATTTATCATTGCACAGATTTTGTGCACCGTATTTTTTGCACTATAAGGCGCTTCTGAATATATAAGGCGCATCTTCGATGAATGGCCTATTTTAAAACTGTTTTCATATATAGGGCGCATTGCATTATAAGGCGCAAAGAATAGAAGCTACAATATAATACAATTACTGTATTTTCCGCACTATAAGGCGCACCTAAAAGCATTCAATTTTCTCAAAAGCCGACAGTGCACCTTATAATCCGATGCGGCTTATATATGAATCAATGTTCTGATTTCCTGCACATAGTATTCTAGCTTCTATTCTATGCGCCTTATGATGCGGAGCGCTCTACATATGAAAACAGTTTTAAAAATAGGCCATTCATTGAAGATGCGCCTTTTAGTGAAGAAAATACGGTCCTATTGAACTTAGGATCGTCGAGCTGTATCACTGTAACAAACATCCTTGACACCAAGTACCACTTTCCTATGACTCAGCGCTTTGGCAGCATGTTGTTTTCTATTATGACATGACAGAAACACAAGGCCGAGGATCGTTTCCGCAGTAGGAAAATTTCAAATTACAATTCGTGAATTGAAACCCGCAAATAAGTGTGGGTTCGTTGTGCTTAATGTTGTGTCCAATGAGTATCAGGATTCTTACCAGACAGCTGAGGGACGTACAGAAGACAGATATGAGCCCAGACAATGGGAAAGAGGTTAGGAAATAGGATGAGACCGAGCCAAACGGTCAGGATGTGTAGGAAAGACGTTTAATTCTCCCCTCCTGAAGCTGTGTTTTACGTACGCCGTCCCAAGCGCCGCTTTTCGAGAACTTCCAAAGAAAACATCAAGCGGAAATGAGCGCACCCACTTAACTGGAGCTTCACTTTATTGGTGTTTACACAAGCTCTCTTTGTTTTTCCTCTGCCTGATACCCATTGATCGCATCTGCTCGGGGTCACCGGAGAGTGATGGCACGCACGTCCCAAGAGTTTTTGTTTACTCGAGCTTTCTTTCATTTGTAATTGATAGAAAAGCCATACAGTCCATTAAGTGCTTTCCAGGGGACGTGTGCACACATCCATCAATGATGGACCACATTAAGTGGACCGCAATCAAAATACAACATTTAAGAGCCACAAAGACCTCATCTCATCAGCTTGTAGACTTTTATAGAATCACGGTCGCATTATGTCACCCGGTCGTTACCGGGTCAGCGCAAGTGCTTACGAAATGTATTGGGCCAAAATCCAAACTAAAGATTTTGCCAAAGCACCCATGAACATGAGCATGCTCATTGTGTAAATGTGTTTTACCGTTCTGCTGGAATTCAATATTGCAGTACTTTATTTAAAAAAAACTAAAACAAAAAAACATACAGTAATGACAATTAAATAGAATGTAAAAAAAAATGTTATGCATCATGATTTGATGCTTTAATTCAATAAACGTTGTGTATCTCCTTCTGCTGTGCATGCCTTGGCCACCAGGGGGCACTAAATACAACAATGAAGACTTTTACAGCTAAGGTCAGTAAGATGCAGTCATTGAAGTCTTTTTATTTTCAGTCGGATAGAAAGTAATTGCCTGGGAGGATTGTTAGATTGTCAGGCTACCACTGGGTAAAAAGTAGCGCGTCATTGATGTTCGTTTTGTTCGCCAGTTTGTGGCTTTTTGCATTGTGTCTCCCCTAACGTGTAATTTGGCTCACCCGTAAATTGAGCTTCCGCTGTATTGACTTTTACATTTCCGAACATGAAAGGAGTTTCAGTGGCTCCAATTTGGATATCAGTGTTTGAATTTAATTTGGGATGATTCATTCTTGTTTAAAAACGTTGTCACATCACTGGAATGGAAAGAGTACGTTTTAAAGGGCTTCATCTTACTGGATAGTCATTTCTCATGGGTATGTTTTGATTCCTGTAGATGTAATCGCCTTGTCTCAATGCATTTACCTTACTCATGTACTAAACCAGCGGTCCCCAACCCCCGGTCTGTGGATCGGTACCGGTCCTTGAGTCATTTGGTACTGGGCCGCACAGAAAGAATAAATAACTTAGATTACAACAACTTAATTTTTATTTATTTCGGAATCTTAAAGATATTTTATTTTGAAAATTTACCGGATTCTCTGTTACATCCGTTTACAATACGTCACTCTTGACGCAGGTCAAGCCGCGCTTCTCGGTCACATGATAGGTTAGCACTAAAATGAAACCCGGGAACGAGCAAAATGAGTAAAAAAACAAACGTCTTTGGAAAGTTTCTTTGGGAAGGGGATGATTCGTATTCATTATTATGTTTCGAAAAGATCACAGTTTTCATGCGGGTCATATCATATGATATTGTTGTATTTATCCGCCACACCTTAAAGGCCTGTCCCTGAAAATATTGTCTGACTTTAAACCAGTCCGTGGAGCAAAAAAGTTTGGGGACCGCTGTACTAAACGACTAACAAAGAGCGACGAACTGATTTCCCATCTTTTAAGTAGAAGACACAAACCCTTTCAAGGACAGCGGTCAACACAGTGGACAGCTTATCATGCTATCAGGTATCAGGGTACATGAAAGTGTTAATAAACATATTTAGTCGGGAGAGATGCTCAACCGAAACGAAGGAAAGGAAGAAGCCAAAGCCTGAGAGGGCCTGCAGGCGCAAGATAGCCGCCTCCACCTAATTCTCTACCTCACTCTCCTCTTTCCATCTCTGTCTGGAGGAATGCCTTCTTTATCTGCTCGCCACCACCCAAATGTGTTTTTTTTTTCTCAACGCCACCTTGACATCGCCATTGGGGGAAGAAAATCAGCAGGTGCCTATCATGATAAGAGATTTGTGGGATTTTTTTTTTTTTAAAGTTTATTCCACCCAGACGTAACTAAGCATCTTCGGAATATTTGGCCGAGAGTCGTCATTGAGGCTCTTTGATGTGATAATCGCTGGCTGGGAGGTTGTGGTTTTTCGCCATCAAGACTCAAGAGTGGAAAAATGCCGGCTGCCTCGCCGAGTGTCTTCTGATTTTTAAGATCCTCAAGCCCACCGACACTCTCCACAAACACGCACACACGCACACTTTGGGGCTGGTTTCACTACTATGAACTGAAAACGGTTGAAAACCGTGTCGCTCTGAAGGTTTCTTTCACATCTTAGCAAGATCTCACGACACACCAACAAACAAAAAACGAATTAAAATGTACCTTGAATTCAGATTTTAATTTGTTCCTAGGTGGTCAAACTTTTCTTTAATAAGGAAAAATAGCACTGCTTTGCATAAAAACCAGAATGAAATCAACAATCGAGTCGAGTAATTGCGATACATACGGTCGGATCGGTGTGTTGATTAGGCGCCTTTGATGGGCGTGACCGAGTGAGTGATAGCAGGTAACTGGAGTTGGTAAATCTTTGTGTGAGTGGCTGGTGTGAGCTGTGGCTTACAGCAGCTCCTTGTACATGTTGCTATGTTAGATTTGTGTGTCGGACTCTTTGTCCCGTTCAATAAATGTCTTGAAGTGTGAAACTAAAGCACTCACACATGGAATGGCATTACTGTCCTTCAATAGCTTTTTTTTTTCCACTGCAGTTAATCGGCAGCGTAGCTGTAGCTCGTTTGCGACCCAGATTTTGGCTTGAAGCGCACAAAGCAAAATAATTGAAGCGACAGCTCAGACTGGAAAAACTTGGATGTCAAGTTACCGTGCAATATTTTTTATTTTTTTACTACGACAAGCGTTAATACAAGATGGATGGCTGGATCACTTGCAGGTGTAGCTGATGTGACTTAAATATACTTTGGATGCACAGCTTGCAGTATTTTAATGTTGTTTTTAAATTGTTTAAACTGTGGTAGCACACATTTGGGCCAACATTGGATTGAGAATATGTGAATGGAAATGCATCCTGCTAGTGGCACTTGGCTAAACTCTATTGACATCCTAAACGGCACATATTTGGGATTATTGCTGAGGTGAATCCTGGCGATGAAATCAGACTCTCGATTCCTCAAATGTGCAGCTTTTGCAGTTCTTCCCTGATTTATGCTCCACTGGTTGGATGGACACACTCGAATGATCTCGCCGTCTGCTTTCATTTGCATTCAAGGGCTGGATTTCTTTTCCAGAAGCCGCGTTTGTCGTTGTTCATTTGTGTGATTTGCAGAAATGTTAAAAACACCATTTTTTTGGTAGGGGGGGTGGGAATACAATGTAAGCAAATCAGGAGACTTTGACACCACTAAATAAAGTCACACGCTAACCCACCACCGCACCCTAGGCCTCTCTTGTACCCTGCGCTGACTGTGCACAATTTCACGTCTTCTTTGCAGGGAGGTCTTAACGGAAAGATTGATTCCCCTCCCGGCATGTTCTCCTCCCGCTTGTCACTGTGAGAGATGTGTGTATGTAGGCCTCCCCTTGCTGCATGCCATGAAATAAGAGTCTCCAGCTTTAGTCTCAATGAGAATCTCCCTCTCCGGGGTGTTATCAACCAAACATGCAAAATATGTTATATGCGCTTTTTCTATGGTGTGACGCTTTAATCTTCAGACAGTTAAAAAATAAATAAATAAATAAAACATTTTTTGATTGAGTATACGGTGAACACTGATGACATACTTGAACTAAAATGGGGGTCGGCAAGCCGCGGCTCAAGAGCCACTTGCGGCTCTTTAGCGCCGCCCTAGTGGCTCCCTGGAGTTTTTTCAAACATTTTTGAAAATTGAAAAAGATGGGGGAAGGAAATATATATATATTTAAAATATGGTTTCAGTAAAAGGACAAACATGACACAAACATCCTTAATGTCTTCCACTGCTGTAAAAATGTGTCGAATAAATATTACATTTCGACATTTCTGTCAACAAGGTTTTGCGTCATAGCCTGCGACACAGGTTTCTATTAGCAGGGCGGGATGTGAGTCAGGTGGCTGTCGTAAAAAAACAAAAAAACATTTCATGTACAATTCACTGAGGGTACTGGCAAAGAAAGGGAATCTGGAGGGCCGAGAGAAGCATTTTTAAACTGTACATGTGAGTTACGATTGTTAACACGCTGCAAAAGTGCATCCCATGCCTCATTCATCTTAGCAGCTGTTATGGCTGTTGCTCATTATTGCATGCGTGTGGAAGTGTGTGCGTGTCCGCGCGTGTGCGGTAACGGGTCGATCACGGGAGGTTGGTTGATTCAAAAATAGATCTTCGATCAAAAAAGGTTGGGCGGGGTGCCCAACCTTTTTCTCCAGATGCACTGCAGGGGAAAAAATTAATGAATCATGAAGGCTCATTGTGTGTTTGTAGCCAACTTAGTCATCTTGATAGTAGGCTAATATAGCTAATATGGATACATACAGCGTGTGTTGCCTTCATTATAAGGTTTATATAAGGCGTTTAATTTTTTGTGGCTCCAGACATATTTTGTTTTGTTTTTTCTGCAGCTCCAGACATATTTTTTGTTTTTTGGTTTTTTTTTTGGTCCAATATGGTTCTTTCAACTTTTTGGGTTTCCAACCCCTGAACTAAAGCAACCTGTCAACAGAACTAATAAATATATCCCCACAGCAATTGAAAATCTGCAATAATGGCCATCACAATTGTTTCCCATTGAGCGTTCATTTCCGTAAGCCCTGTCAAAGGCGTTTCAGAAAATGTGTCAGTACATCCAAGCGGCCTCGTGACCACAGACCACGTCTAACCGCATCAGTCCAGGACCTCCACATCCAGCAATTTCACCTCCCAAGATTGTTCGAGACAAGCCAAGGACAAAATCAACAACCTGATGAACTCGATGAGTTGCAACAAAATGGGATTGATGAAAATTTTCCATTTTCCGTTTAATGCGAAACGTTCCAACAAACTGCTACTTTAGCACATGAGCAGAAACGCATACAAACAGGACTTGCAGGAGTATAATTTCTCTGCTTGTGGGAACAATGATTAGCTGCCTGCATCCGTGATAGAACGAGGGCACATCACGAAATAGAACAGCTACACAGAATCCAGAGTCTGTGCTGTGGTCCGATAACAGGCCGCTAAGTGGTGCAGATCTGGTTTGTATCGAGCTCGGGGCGCGGGTGAGGAAAATTTCATTTGCGTGTCGCTCAGAGAATGCCAGGAAAGTTGCCATGTGTTTGGTTTGCACTCTCTGTGTGTTCATCTTGCTTGTGACCTAGTGATGATGCATGAGTCACTCGGCGTATATTTGCTCAAGGCCCCTCGCAATTTGCTCCTTCTGTTTCTGATAGAGGATGCTATTGCTAATTAAAACCATCACTAAAGCAGCCTGAAGACACACAAAACAACCGTTAAAACACGGAGGCTCGCCATAGTTTGTTCACCCAAGGACAAGGTAGTACATTTTAGCGATGGCAGATCACTTGTCCTCATTCGGGTGAGATCGGAATTAGGTCGCAAGCTAGCTATTTAATCACTTAGCTTCAATTGGTTCAACTTCTGTGGTGCTGCGTTATTTGTTTGCTTGTTGGTTTGTGACCTACTTAATTTTTTTATCGTTAGTTAGTTTGTCCATCTGTCACGCATTCACTCATTCATTAACTCCCTAGTTACTTCGTTACGTAACGCTAAATGGCGCGACTTCTGGGGTGTTCACATTTCGGTAGCACGTACAAGTGTTCTAATTCTTATGCTTGATCTCACGCAGGGTTCATCTACACAGGCGACGTGGTGCACAGGATGCTAACTGCCACGCAGTACATAGCCCCCCTTATGGCCAACTTCGACCCCAGCGTGTCAAGAAACTCCACCGTCATCTACTTTGACAACGGTAAAGCATTTTTTTTTCTTCTACAGTTTTATCCCAATATGTTACCTCATCACAGACTTTTAAACAAATCGCTCTTCTCTATGGCAAGGTGTGAAACCTTCTTGAGCCTCGAATGCTCCCATAAATCTTCACTTCAGGCTGAATGACATCGCGCTGCTGGTTATCCAGCACATTTGTCGTCATCTTATCCTGGGAGGCTGGGACAGACTGTGTGACCTTCTGAAGGGGAGCTCACCCAACTAGAACCACACTAATCCATTCTCAGCGCGCCGCCGAAATTGAAAATGATTTTTTGGGGTTTGTTCGTAAGAGACACTCGATGAGAAAGTGCAAAGGCGAGACCGAAGTGGTCGAATTGGGGATTAGCATTAAGATTAGTAGTGTGTATTCTTTTTAGCTAAAGTTAGCAGGTAATGAGATGGTACAAGAATATATTACATTTTGCTTTGGTTGCATACAAAAGTGCAGATCATCCATCATTTTGTCCATGCATATGCAAAAAACATCTGAATTTGAAACAAATGTACAAGGTGGCAATCTAAGATAATTTGCAGACTAAATTACGATGAATTCTTCTGGCCTTGCCAGTGGTCTGCGCTCCGCTGAGTGACGTGGAACGGTTTCATCCAAATGTGAGCTCATTTTAGTTACTTCACAACCTAGTTAAGTAATTTACTATTTATTTAGGTCATTTGTTGTTGTGTCTAATTTGTTTGTTTGCAGTTAGTTCGTACAGTTGTTAGCTACTTTCCTAATTAGTTTTGTTCATTTGTTAGTAAGTCTTTACCCGAGTTACCTGAATTAGTCCCTGGGTTTATTCTTGAATGTCAGTTTGCTCATTAGATGGTTACTTAGTTCGTAGTTATTTCACTAGCTAGCTAGTTTTTTTCATAAGCTAGTAAGTGAATAAGGTGTTGGTTGCTTTCTAATGTGTGAGCTCAATAGCTAGCTAGCTACTTAGCTCACCCGCCTGTTAGTTCGTTACTTGCAGAAGTTTGTAAGTTCATTAGCAAGGTAATTAATTCAAACTTCCACACATCAGTTAGTCAGTTTGTTAATAGTAGTTAGTTAATTTATCCATTTGTTAGATAGTTTGTTAGTTCGTGAGTTGTTTGTTCATTAGCTAGTTGGTCGTTTCGTCCCTCAGTCAGTCAGTCAGCCAGGTGCTTTGTTAGTGAATTTAATTTTGCTTGGATGTACATTCTTAGCAACATGGTGAAACTTGTGGTGTCTCGATTTAATTAAGTTTAATTTAATAAGAGTGTGTTGTTTTGTTTTGTTTTTTGTTACACACAAATGGATCCTTTGGGTGAAGGCTGCTCTACCGTAACTGCACATGAGAAATGCTAACAGATGTACGGTTAGGGTAGACTGTGATTGTCTACCATGCATGTGTAGTTGTGATAAGGCATTGACTATGTAGTCACCAAAATGATACTTAAAAGAATCCCGAAGAAGAAGAAAGCGAGAGTGGGATTTGTGTCTGCTTAGTAAGCTGATGTCATTAAAACACTAAAGCCCCGGCCATGGATAATTTAACTAAAATGAGGTTGCGGTCGTGCAATTTGTAGTTTGCGGATTCGCTTTTGTTTGTTTGGAGCTTGCGCAGCCTGCTGAGCTGGTAAGTGGAAATAGAAACAAGGCCACCGTGTGCTCTCTCTCCCCCCGCACCCCTCGGCCCAGTTTGCCCGGCGTCCTTCCCCTGCCGAAAGGGACCTGGATCAGGTCTAAGTCACTCACAGACCTCTTCCTCGTAGTGGAGGTGCAAACCGTCTTGACCTCATCCTTCAGTGCTGGCAGTCCCCCGTTTCCACACATGTATATCATTACTGGCTTTCCTGCCCCGCTGCTCTCCAGAGCTGTCAGCAGAAAGCTTGCTTTTACGTTAGATAGAAGCCCCCCGGCTGTAAAAATGGATGAGAGTGTTGGCAAACCTTGGCACTCCTTTGGGGAAGAATGGCTGTCACATCAGTGGGTTGCCCACAGTCTGCAGTAAAATGAAATAGCGTCAAAGCTAATGCCCGGGGGGGGGGTCCTACTAAATCCCTCACAAGCCTGCTACAAATAGTATCATATTACTGGACTTCTTATTTCCAGGGGTTCACTTACAGCTTTTGAGCTTTTATTTGATTACCCAAGCATGAATCTGAGGTGATTGTTTGATCACAATTGTCAGTTAGTGCGTGTGTTTGTTTGTCAGCTAGCTAGTTCATCTGTGCCTAAATCAATAAGTCAGTTTGTCTCTGTATGTCTGTTCATCCATTCATTACTAGTTGTTTTGGGTTGGTTGATTAGTACGGTAGTTTGTCAGTTTGCTCGTTTGGTAGTCATTCATTTGTTCAGATGGTATCTCACTGAGCGGTAAATGCTTGTAACACGAGTCAATTTGGGGTTTTCTCAGGGTTCGTAAAATGCTGCAAAGATGTTCGCGGACAGTTTTAACTTGTCCCAAACAGTTTCCTTGTCACCAAGAAATTTTGAGTGTGTTCGAAATTTAGAACACGTTCAAATTGTCTTGTTGTGTCAGCCCGTAATTTACTCAACATACATGGCAATTTTCCGCGGATCCGCGGAAATCCGCCGTTTTATTTCTTAAATTGATCATTTTTGTGAATCGTCTAAATCCGTTGAGAAAATTTTAGGGGCGGTCAGGTACCTTATCGTCGAGTTTTCACGAGCTCTCCCGAACAGTCTCTCCGTTTTCCGTTTGTAAACAGCCCTGCGATTGGACGTGTATGAAAGCTTCAACTAATCAGATCACTGAAGGCATTATTTGTTGCGGAAGTCGTAGCTCGATTATAAACGGCCCAGCGATTGGTTAACTACAAGCGATTGGACCAATCAAATTGCATGTAACATATTGTTTTACCTGATTCATGGCGGCCTGTTCGTCTCGCAAATTCATTGTTCTGGGATCGTTTTGAGCGGAATTATGAAATTTTTGACGAAAGATCAGGAGTCTTTAATCCTAGAAATTGACTCAAATGTCAAGAATAAATTCCGATAGGACTGGCTTGACAGAAAAGTCACTGTAAAGGTTAAAATTGGTTCCAAGTTCGACGAAGTTACAGAAGCTCTTGGACAAT